ACAAACAGTGCCCAGGCCTGACACTAAGCACAGGAGTACAACAAGGGTGTGTGCTTAGCCCTATTCTACCTCTATACTGCACACCCGTTCACCCCATAAATTCAGTCATCAAGTTTGCAGATGACACAATTGTTGTAGGTCTCATCGAAAATGGGGATGAGACCACCTAGATGGATGAGCTCAGCAGACTGACAGAATGGTGTGTAGAAAACAACCTGTCTTTAAACATCAGGAAGATAAAGTTCTTCTTGGACTTGCAGAGTGTGCACCTACCACTCAGAAAAGGAGGTCTGATGGTAGAGCAGGTTACTAGCTTTAAGTTTATGGAACATATGTACATCAGAAGTGACCTAAAATGAAATATAAAGACCATTGCAGCAGCAAAGAAAGGACACTTTGGAAGTAACACTCTTGAGTCTTTACTGAGTTTGTATTGAGTCTCTATTGAGTCTCGCTCAATAGAGAGCGTACTGACTAACTCTCCATGCTGTTTGGAAACTGGTCTGGGGCAGACAGGGCAGGCCTCCAGGGGTGATTCACTCAACCTCCACCCTCGACAGGGGCTTACAGGTCACGCTAATTTGTCTTAATCTGTAATCACTAAAATTCACTTAAATATTCCATGCATTTTAAACGTTTTTAACTTTTTTATTTTTAACTAATGTCAAGTCAGTTGTGTCTGTTATATTTTATGCCAGTGACATTTTACCTGTGTGAGAGGATGTGAATGAGTGAGGAAAGCGTTTCCTAAAGTTATTTAAAATGTTATTGAATTGTTTTACACAAAGCGATGGCAATAAAAATCTATCATAATCAGAAAACTAGATACTAATGTAATTAAAGGTCTAGCATTCGTGCCAAAGTTTTAAACTAAGATATTTTTATGTTGAAAAATTGTGGAGTTGCTGCCGCTTTGGTCAAACCTTGAAATTCTCAGCTACTCTTAGACTCTCAGCTGTCACAACATCTTTTTGCACAAAATCCATAAAAATGAATGAGTTATAGACTTTTCTGTGTTGACTAATGATTATTAGCTGTGGTGGCAACCTTGAATTGATTTTACCATCCATCCATCCATCCATCCATCCATCCATCCATCCATCCATCCA